TTTTTGAAGATGTCCTAGTTTCCCCTGCAAATAGTCTCAGTCCTACAACAAGGCCAGGTCCCAGGATAGTTAATGCCCAACCTTGTCTGTACTGTCAACTCCCAGGCCCCCAGGCTTGAACCTTTCAGACCACAGGAAGTCTTTTGTCTTCTGTGCTATGGAGCACAGTAGAGGGTTCTACTCTTTTGTGGTTGAACTGCAAGGTATGCTGGTACAGTGCTTAGTGAGGAGCCATCATGTTGTATTACAGTATCCTTAGGAGCCTAAATGATTCTGTCTACTAAAAATCCTTATAAATCTTAAATAGTCTAATTTGCTCATGATTAACTTATTGTAAAACCAAAATCACTCATTTTTTCTGAAATTGCAAAGTTTTCTCTCTCCACAATACTGTCAAAAATTGCTTGTTTGGGACATAGGGAAGATGAAAACTAAAAAGGGGGGAAAAAATCACATTTTTGCCCTGCTCTTAGATATATGAACATAGGTTCTTGCACATAACAGGAATTCCACTGAAATCTGTGCAATCCATTTTACCTCAGTCTAGGCCAGCATATCTATTTGCTGAATGAGGACCTTATTTTATTATTTTGTCAACCGTTTATTCGAGCTCTCAACATATTTCCAATGCAGACTTATAAAATCCCTGTAAATAGTGGCTTACATTAAAAACTATGACATATTCTTAACTATTTCAGCATGAATACTGCTACCATAATTATAATAATTGAATGTAGGAAGCTAAAAATAATGCAAATATTCAAGCAGTTAAGCTGAAAAAGAAGCAAATATCTTTTAAAAATGGTAATAATATTTTCTTTTTTTTGCTACCATTAAATATTGCTTCTAGCAGATCTTATATCCTTGTTGCATAGTGCAATAATTTATTTAAAAAGATGTCCAGTAGTTTTAGATTAAAATGTAATATAATATAAAGTGTTATTGTTTTGTTAGGTCGTTGTTTTTAAATAAAGTGGAATATTTTGCTAAACTCCTCAACAAATGTTTACAATTTAGAACTAAATGTGCTTTCTACATATACTTGTGCTGTTGAAGAACTGTGCCTTATAGACCTGTCAGCTTTTTTCATATGATCGTTTCTGCTGCATTATTTTCATTGGTAAATGTACAAGCTGATAGAAAAGGAAATAATTAGGTACTCTCAATATTGCTGAGGCATGGAGCTAGAACAGGTCAGTCAGTGCATTTTACAGATTGTGACATTTTAAATTACCTGTACAATACTGGAAGCAATCTTTGGACCTAATTAACATCCCACCTAATTAATGTCAGGTCTGCATGTGCAGACCTCTAGACAGATTCAGACTTTATTTATTTATTAAATATCATATTATTCAAACTTGCTATCTCTAATTTCTGTATTGAAAACTTCAGATTGGTATGCTGTTTTCTTAAGTGGGAGTAACTCTTCTGTTTTTTCTCCTTCAAGTAATCAATGCACTGCTGAATGAGTTCATTTTAATGCACTCAATCATGCCTCTAATGTTTGTAGCTTACGGGCGCAAGCATCAGTAATGCAGGAATGTTATATGGCTTTAGTTTGGGCCATTTCATAAAATATTCATGGAATCAAAAATGTGCATCAAAATAGCGGCTGGGAGAATTACATTTATGTGCCTGCTTTTATGGCAGCTTCACATTTAAACCCATTTGTGTTAATATCTAGTCAATCTTTCTACTTAAAAAAAAAAACAAAATGGTAGTCATCATATGTACTCTTTTTTGGTTAACATTTGTCTAAGATATCTGCTTTGATATAATAAATGTATGCTTTTGAACTGTTCTATAGGAAGGGAAGTTGTAAAGGAAGTTTTGGATAATATTCAGAAATATAGGACTGTTTCTCTGTTAAATTCACATTACATTGAACTCTTGCTTTTTAAGTGAATGGATACAATCTGTTTTTGTGGGCTTTAGGCAAACTCTAACTCTAATAGTTTCTGTTCAAACAGTGCACTTTCTTTTCACTGAAAAACTAGTACAAATCTTAGTGCATATGTCTCCAACTACTATGAAAATAGGAATGATTTATTATCTTTAATACATTGAGTGGATGAATGATGTCTTTGTATTAATATAATTGTTTAGAATGGGTCTCCTACTGTAAAAGGTATGTAGTTACACCATTTCATTCCCATTATTAAGATGAATTGATTACTGATAGCTTTTTTGATGCTATGTCCTGGGGTCCCGTTAAATTATAATATTTTTGCAGTAGTGCTATATATTTTGTGAAAATTATATTTGTGTGTTTGACTTCTTTGACTAATGAAAAGAAGAATTAATATTTCTAAAATTTCAATTTTAGGATACACTGGGATAATTTCTGAGCATATTGCTTGGGGATATTAAATGTGCAGACACTGTTACTAATGATAATAATAAAAATTAGCTATAATTTCATATATAATATTTTGAAAATGTATGCTATAGATTTTTTGAAAACAGTCATTTTCCTCCAGGAAATCTGGGAGAGATATATGGGATGTCCTTTACCTTCCATAAAATATTCCTGATGAGCACTCCCACACAGTATTCTTCCTCTTCCTTTGTCTCTCTCCCTCAAATGATAGTAGAAATCATTATAAATGTACTGTACAGATGATCTAAAATAACCCTAACTTTTAATCCAAAGGTCATTTATAACCAGCTTTATTCCTTCTCCAATTATGTTTATTTAATTTAGTTTGTTTAAAAATACAAATGCCTCTATCCACTTGCTCTAGGTACTTGTGCAAATATTGAAATAAAAAAAAGTGAAAAATTAAAATTCTGGAGTCACTCCAAGTCAAACTAAATCAACTAGGTTGACAGAATGGATAAACAAATCCGCCATCCCCCTAAAGATTTTATTTTTCCAAAGGACTCTAATGCTTGGGAGAACAGACAGACCTTCTGGCTTGTCCCAAAGATAGGCAATTTCCAATTATTCTGGAGTAAGAATAAAATTTAAAATATGTTCCCAGCAACTGCATCTCCTGTAATCCCAAAGGAGTCTATTTTAAAGATCCCGGGGTATTGCAAAAGTATGGCAGTATTGTACAGAACAATCTCAGGTAGTCAAATCCCTGATCAGTTAGTTCTTTTGCAGGTAAAAAATTATGTTTCCCTTTTATAGGAAGTTAGTGCCCATTTAACAACTCACTCTAATTAAGTTCTTAGGTTTTTCACAATCTTGGCTGTTGTAGTTGTGTCTGCAGTAGAACTACATTTAGACATATTTTCACCTAATTCCATCTGAATGATACCAGAAAGCACAGACTGCCTCCATATGTTGATGCCTGATGTAGATGGATTGTTCTCTAAAGAGTCTTTACTGAGTTCTGGCAAAAAGAATATCAGGTCAAGGCTCTTATGGCTAGTTCAACTTCAAGAACCGCAGGGCTTGTGGAATATATTACTTCAATTTCCACTCTGTCGGGAATTGTCTCAAGGCAATCCCTCAAAAAATGAGGGAGAATGGGGCAACAGAATCATCTCATTCTATACCTCCAACCATTCCTGTAAGGCCATTGAAAGGTCTAAAAGGCTGTTGTGTATATTCTTTAAGGCCATCTGAATCTGTCCCTTTAAGAGACAGCATCTCTGAGTCTAAGGTGAAATAGGTATGCTAAAGATAACTCTCATCCCTTGATGATTTAGACGTGAGAGGTAGTAGAACTTACTTAGTAGAAGTTTTTTCAGTTTCACTAGAATCATGCTATATGTGTCTGGCAGTCTCTTCTATCAACATCTTATAGCATATCTATTTCTTTATCAAACACACAGTTAAGTAACAATTTCTCTATCCAAGTCCAAGATCTGAGCCTAGTAGCTTCAACTGTGTAACCCTGTTGAAATGAATTGTCCCTGAGCAGTTAACTGCACTGTGTTAGATGATGTAAAGTTCCCTCAAGGAAGACCCATGTTTCAAAATGGGAAGATAGTTTTTCTTATGGTTTTAGTAAGTCTTCCTCTGTCTGGTCTAATATAATCAGGAATGTAATATTTTCAAATTCTCTGAATTGATCCTGGTCACTTTTAAAATTCATTTTGTAGCTGTATCAACCTAGTATCTTCTATCTTCAGACATCCAACAGATGAAGTGTGTGAAAGAACTATTATACTGTACTTCTTTCCACCTATTTATGAACCAAACCTTACTTGGAACTTGCATTCTACTACAGAACCTAATGAAATTATGTGCTTGAATTTCTTCGAGATGGTCCCCTTTTATCTTCTATTTTTCAAAACAAAGTACAAGCACTGATGACTGATTCTTGCTATATGGCATTCATTAGGTGCGATAGTACTTTGTCCAGACTATCAATTCTTTTTCCTGTTCACACTCTATTTACTCAGGCTTTCCCCTGTTTACCCAGGTTACACTAACCTATATAAATTAGGGAGGGACTTTGTATACTAGCCTGAGATACCTACACTCATTGGAAATGACTAGGTTATATGTGCATATGGAGATATATTACATGAAGAAAAAATTAATTCATTTTTCATCAAATAGTCTATTCGCTTGAATAGAGAATGAACCTATCATTTGAAAAAAAAATCTATTCTTCACATTTCTGCCCATCTCCTTCACAATCTATAAGTGTATGTTCTGATTATAGGGAAACGAACTGAAGAGTAGTTTGAATTGTGCTCCTTTATATAGAGAGTTGAGGGTTTCTACTTTGTATAAGATTCTGTCTTCACCTGCTAATCAAAATGTAACACAACAATGTGGATCTGCATTGGCAATCCACTAAAACTTCCATTTACTCGCAAAAAATTATAGCTTGGCTGTGACTGGGAATATAAGGATATTGAAGATAAGGAAGAGTTATGGATACCTGTAAAATTTAAAATATTTTTTCTAAGTACTAAATTATGGATTAAAGCATATTGACAATTTTGTGAAAGAAAAGGACTGCATGCAAAAATGTTTTGTAATATTTTGTGAAATATACTGATTATATTTATGAATGACTTGTGTTTTCCAGGTCAGTTCATGAAAGCTGCTGAGCATTATGAAGCATTCTATCAACTGACAGTAGGGCGGATATGGAAGGATGAGACAAGCCATACTTACAACTCACTGGCCTGTGAGCATCTCTGGAGAATTTACACATTACTCGCAGACAAAATGCTAGAAAATAAAGAACACCAACAGGCCATCAAAACTCTAATAAAAGCTTTTGAAATGGCAAAAGAAGGTGGGTAGAAAATAACACTCCTACATTCCTTTATTTAATGTACAGGCCCTGATTTTCCCAGGAGTAAAGTAAAAATCGTCAAGTGTTTGACTGGGTGATTATTTCCTATGAAATGCAAAGACAAATGCCATCAATATACTTCCAAATCCCACTGTAAAACAAAAATGCCTTGCTGACAACAAAGAATCTATTAGTTTCTTGAAAGCTTTATCTCCAAAAATACAATCTTCTGGGAGTAGTGTTGTAAAACAATGAACCCATAATCAGTACGAAGGTCATTGACAGAAATTGAGATTTTCATGGGTTAGCCATGGTTGATTTGGCATTTCCTGAGTTATATTATCAAATAGATCATTAACATTTCATTCTATATACTTATTAAATAATTATGGAAATGAGATCATGTTTTTCTATTGTAACAAATAAGGTTTTTGGCTTTTCTAGTGCAGCTGAAATATTTACAATAGTTTTTTAAAGTTTAAAGTAAAAATATGCTTTACATGGTAATTAATGTGACAGTGTTAAGGCTTTAACTATGTTAAGTGGAGATTTAAAAAAAATCGTGAAGAGATTTGGATAGCATTTGAATACATGCTGTAAAATGTTCATCAGCTGTAACAGAGTTGTTTGTTTATGATGCAGTATTACGTATAAGAGGGAATACAAACCACTACAGTTGATTTTAACAAAGCACATGTTTTTCTGGCTTTTAAAATTACCTTAACATCACTTATTTATTGGAAAATGCCATTAGATGCCAACTTCTGTGGGTTTTTTGCCTGAAAATATTTGACATGTTCCCAGAATAAAAATAAAATAACTTGAATAGTCATCTTTATTTAGTTTACAATTTTAGAAAAAGAATAAGAACATAAATTATGTGGCATTTCTTACATAGAATATTTTGCTTGAGAACTGCAAATTAATGCACAATATTGATTCACATTTTATGACATAAATTTTCATCTGTATTTTAAGGAAGAGTACATTGATCAATTAATGTAGTCTTTAAGAACTAATTAAAATTGTTTACATCATGCTAAAAATTAGCAAAAATGAAAAATATTTGAACATAATTTTTTTTAAATAAAGTTTGTTCATCACAGTAAAATAAAATACAATTTCCTCTGCAAAACCAGTATGTATGTAACTATGTAACAGTTTAAAATATATCAGATTAAGCATTAACTTTGTTCTCTAGCAGTGAAAACGTATTTAATTATTTCTATTTGGGGTTTTTTTAATATTTTTTTCTAATGACCCAAATTAATTCCTAACAGTTCATACAGTTAAAAAATTGAGCATTTAAAGGTACCATTTTAAAACTGCTTGCTGTAACCTCATAAGAGAAGTTTTGGGGTTAAAGCAAAATACATCCTGGGCCTGTGGCTTTCAAACCTTCCATTCCATTCTACTTCTTTTGAACATATGTCTTTTTGAGCAAATTTAAATGACTCTGTTGGTTAGGTAGTTCTTTCCTTCTTTGGTTTTGATCCTTGGATAATTCATCTTAATTTGTTTTCAGCACATTAATAGATCTCTTTGAGCAGGTACATCAGCATTTAGAATATTATTTAAAGCAATAACTCTTGGGATCAGACATATTCACTATTACAAACCGCACACTCACCTGTGCTATGCTGCTGAGTAGTAGTTTGGGTGGAGAAGTTGATGGAAATTGCCCTGGGATTATCAAAATGGATCTGATTCTGCACTGATATCTCCTTTGATCAAGTAGATATCCCAAGTATTAGGTGACTATTAGGGCTATGTGAAGCTTCGGTTGCTAATTCAATTCAGAGGAGATTCAGCCCGATTCGGCGGCCAAATCTCTGAATGCAAAAAAAATTGGGAGACCAGTAAAAAGGTCTGAATCAATCTGAAGCCTCTGAATTGATTCAGCAAAAGATTCGGAGGAGGTTTGGAGATTTGGCGATTTGGGCGGTCCCCACTCACTGCTGCACAGGGCTGGAGAAGCTTCGGTTGCTAATTCAATTCAGAGGAGATTCAGCCCGATTCGGCGGCCAAATCTCTGAATGCAAAAAAAATTGGGAGACCAGTAAAAAGGTCTGAATCAATCTGAAGCCTCTGAATTGATTCAGCAAAAGATTCGGAGGAGGTTTGGAGATTTGGCGATTTGGGCGGTCCCCACTCACTGCTGCACAGGGCTGGACCATGTCCGTAAATAGGGGGGTGGGGGGA